ACCCATTTTATTAACCCTCATGTGGTTTGTAATTTATCTTTTTCTAGTGAGTTCCTGTGTGGGAACTTTAATGGCCAGGGTGTGTGTATTTCTCCTGGGAGGATCTGTATTTACCTCTGCCTGGAACTCAGATATACTACAGATGTAGATCCAATTTCAATTAAGCCCTCTGTGTAGTTTCTAGGCCAAAGAGGTAATGTCATTTTCTGCCATTAATCTTGCTGTAGCTCTGTGTGACTTTATTTTCTCAACAACAATTCAGTATTTGTGGTCAGAATGGAAATACTTATTGGAGACAATAGGCCAGAGTCTTTGATGTCACCACTGCCTGGAAAAATCCAGACTGTATATAGTGACAGGGCTGTCCTCATCCTGAATTTTAGAGACTGGCAAGGCCAAGTGGATGGAACTTGGTGCTATGAAAATATACCACCTTATATCATCTGTAATTTAATTTTAAATACTTTAAACAGTACAATATGTGTGTAGTATTTTAAATCAATATCCAAGGGGTTGTTAATTAACAATTGAAGTGCCCTGTTGTGGAATATAAACTCCAGGAGAAGTTTATATTTTGAAAGTTTCCAAGCAGATGTCCACACTTTAGAGCTTCAACCATCTTTATTTCCAGTCAACACTGAGACTGTGGATTTCCCTTTGGTGAAATAACTAGTATTTGTTATGCGTGGATTGGCTAGAAATGTTGTATAGGATATTTCTATACCCTGCTGAAGCTGAAGCTCCAATACTTTGGCCAATTGATGTGAACAGACAACTCACTGGAAAAGACCCTGATGCTGGAGAAGACTGAAGGCAGAGGAGAAAGGGGCGACTGAACACCACCACCAACAACAATATCTTGTCTACTTTTGCATGATACGATATAGAAATCTAGAGAATCCAAGGTGTATATCCTTTGCAATGATGCTTTTTCAAAACTGACAGCTTCAGAAAACTGAGAATTGCTATTGCGAAAAGCTGCTGAGTCCTACGCCTAAAATATTGTTTCCTAGGTATGGAACTATTTTTGAGTTGTTACTAAATGTTTGCATGGGCAACAGAATTCAGTATACATGTATACATGTTATTATAACACTGTAATGTTGTAAATTAGGAAGGTTGTGAGGTAGAAGAACTTAAATATAACGTTAAACAAATTACATCTATAAAGAAGGAAGGGGTATCCTGCCAATTAGATTCCTGCTTTGGAAAATCTCCTGCTCCAATAATTTTCAAATTCTATTCTGATTTGGGAAGGAGAGGAGAGTCCTCGAATGTAGGAATTAAAGCAAGGTATGAGATATCTGAGGCTTGGAAAAGACTTCTCTAGCCCTATTCCATAAACAGTAGTTGCATGTCTCTACAGCATCAGTCAAGGTCTCTGGAAGCTTGACCTCAACCACCTCAGAAACCCTGGGGTTGGAGAGGGGTGCAGTTATTTGCCAAAATTGAGGAGGGAGAGAAATTTTTATGTCTTTGGAAAATATACTGTAGCTGCAGAATTAACCACCAATGCTTTTACATAATTTGAAGATAGCTCCTCTTGGCTCACAAATTCAGGTATCTATAAATAATAATGATAGACAACATTTATGGAAGGCAATCTTGTCCTGGTGCAAAGTATCTTACACACATGCATGTACATTTCCTACGTGGCCCAGTGGTAAAGAATCCATCTGCCAATGAAGGAGAGGTAAGAGATTCCTGGTCAGTCTCTGGGTGGGAAAAATCCCCTGGAGTAGGAAATGGCAACCTCTTCCAGTATTCTTGCCTGGAAAATTCCATGGACAGAGGAGTCTGGCAGGCTACAGTCCTTGGGGTCACAAAGAGTTGGACACTACAGAGCATACACATGTAATTTCCATACAACCCTATGAATGGATGATTTTATTCCAGTTTTATATATAAAAATAGTGGGGCACAGAGACTGCATAATTGTTTGACTATAACTCAAGCTCATTTCTATGCACCACCATCCTCAATATCTTTTAAAGGGGAAAGCTATGCCTCTGCGTGCTCAGTCATGTCAGACTCTTTGCGCTCCCATGGACTGTAGCCAGCCAGGCTCCTCTGTCCATGGGATTCTCTAGGCAAGAATATTGGAGTGGGTTGCCATTTCCTCCTTTTGGGAATCTTCCTGACCCAGGGATCGAACCTGCGTGTCCTGTGTCGCCTGCATTGCCAGAGTGATTCTCTATAGCTTGAGCCATCGGGGAAGCCCCAATGGGAAGGTTGAAAGCGAAGGTGAAAGTCTCTCAGTCGTGTCCTATTCTTTGCCACCCCATGGACTATACAGTCCATGGAATTCTCCTGGCCAGAATACTGGAGTGGGTAGCCGTTCCCTTCTCCAGGAGATCTTCCCAACCCAGGGGTCAAGCCCAGGTCTCCTGCACTGCAGGTGGATTCTTTACCAGTTGAACCATGAGGGAAGCCCCAATGGGAAGGTTGAGGAAAGTCAATTTCTACATGAGCATGTAAGCTAACTCTGTTTACATGAGTTGCTCTCAATAAGAGAGTCGGGATGTTTTGAAAGCGTAACACACTTCAACGCTTAATTTCACTCCTAACTTTTGGACCCCCTACTTCCCTCCCCCACTTTGAGCATCCCTTTCGGGTGAACCTCGCCGCCACCACCGCATGAGACTGCTGGGAATGGGAGAGGGAGGGGCTCTTTGCAGAACAGCCAATGAGATGGCTGGTTCTTGTGAATGGCACGTCATTACGCCAATGGGTTCAGTCCCTGAAGCCTCGCGAGAGGACGGGAACTCGCGGTCTGGAGCATGTGGGATTTTGGCGTGGTGGGAACGTTGAACGCTGGCGTCTCCTGAGGCGCAGCCAAGCTGCTCAGTGGGGTCCAGCGCCGGTGAGAGGACGGGACGCAGGTGTGGAAGACCAGGGAGGCAGAGGTCGCTCTGCTACAGGTCAAGGTGCGCTCAAACTCAAGTTCTTGGTGGTAAGCTGGGGTCCCTGTGGCCCTCTCCACACCTCACCTTGGGAAAGCTCGGAGTCTGTGGGCCCTTGGGTGGAGGCTGGGCCTGGGGCGGGGGCGGGAAGTTGTTATTTGAGGTTGGGGGTGTAGGAGGAAGGCAGGCCCTTGAAAAGGTGGAAAGGAGGAGGGAGGAGGCTCTTGGCAGGGAGGTGGTTGAACGCGTTGAGTGTTCCTTGGGCAGGAACAGTGGGCCAGACCGCTGGCGGAATCTTGGTTTGGGGAATGATGCTTTCTCCGTGTGGAAGAAGCGTAGGGGCCTTCCCTTCTGGTTACATCCCAGTCATAGACCCCAGTCTGGAGCTCGCACCTGGAGGAGTGCGGAACATAGTCCTCGCCTGTCCTGGGACCTGTCTGTCCTGGGACTCTTCCGGCTTGGGCCTTAGAGTCAGCCAGCTATTTGTTAACTAATCAAAGGAGAAAATCCACAGTAAGGGAGGGCTTTCTGGAGGAGGTGCTTGACTCTGTAGAAGTGATGGTGGAGGTGAGAGGGGAAGAAAGAAGAGGATTCCAGAAGTCCTGTAATCGGTAGGTGTCACGGTGCCTCTCATTGTGTACCAGTCAGACTGCTAATTGCTCTGGTTTCTTCCAGTGGTGGTAGGAAGGTGTGAGCCAGGAGGTCAGGCTAACTGAAAAGGAGTTTGAACAATTATAGGGGAGAATTCTAGTAGCCTTTGAGGAGGAGGCATGCCTTTCTGTTTTAGTGTAAAAAATAATAGTTTGTATAAAAAAGTTTTGCCAGATCCTGAACCACCTTCATCTGTAGAATTGACTTAGAAATTGTGTGTCAGCCTTTTCTTTTATGTGCATGACCTGATTTCTCAGTAATTTATAGTTAAGATAGGTTAGTGAAAATTAAGAAGAGGCTTACTTGTTAATTACAGAAGCTTCTTTGGGGATTGGGGTGAGTCAAGACGGTGAAAAGGAGCCCCTGAAAGAAGGAGTCCTGGGCCTTTGCTAGGGGTCCAGTAGTTAAGACTCTATGCTTCCACTTCAGGGGACATAGGTTCGATTCCTAGTTGGGGAACTAAGATCCTATATGCTCCTGAAAGTGAAAGTTGCTCAGTCATGTTGGACTCTTTGTGACCCCAGGGACTATACAGTCCATGGAATTCTCCAGGCCAGAATACTGGAGTTCCCTTCTCCAGGGGATCTTCCCAACCCAGGGATTGAACCCAGGTCTCCCACATTGCAGGCAGATTCTTTACCAGCTGAGCTACCAGGGAAGCCTGGCATGACCTTCTAAAAAAATGGGAGTCTTGAAGTCTGTAGATTATATAAAGTGATTTTGAAAAGGCTTAGTGAGTCTGAGACTTGAGGGCCGAGAAGAGCATCATCCCCGGTTACCTTAAGGGTAGGGGCAAGTGTTAAATGTCACCTGTGAGACTAAGCAGGAATCATAGGCCCAAATCAGGAAGGGTCTATATGGTGGAGACCTCAGTTCTGATAGAGTTTGAGAAAAGAGCTCTGTCGAAAGGAACTGGATAAAGATTCAGAGAAGCACACTAAGGAATCAAGGAGGAGATGGAATAGTTTACTATGAAAATAGACTGGAGAAAAGATTAAGTCCCTGGTAGAGAGGCCCAAAATAAAGCAAAACTGATAAATATTTATTGACAGAAAATTTTTGTGATATGTTAACTATATACTTACTTATAAAGCAAAATTATGCCCATACATAAAAAATACTTCTTCTACAACTGGTAGTTAACTGCAGGACTGAGTTCTCAAAGAAGCTCTTTGGGTAGAAAATGTGAGTAAATATGAGTAAAATTAAGGAGGGTTTGGCCTTTAAGAAATTTCTGATTGAGAGTATTTAGAACATTCTGGGCTAAGTAGAAACTTTTGAATATAATATAGAAGTATCATTGGTCCAAAGTAGGTTTTTTTTCTTTTAATGCTTTGTGAGTCTGTTGTGAAGGAAAAGGAAACCCTTTGGGAATCATTTAAACTATAGAATGATGGCAAGTAATAACAATGACAGATTGACACCCATGTCCTCCGCAGCCTTGCAATGGATCCTGTTCGACCACGCTTCAGGGGCCTGTCTCCCGTGCACCCATCTCAGTCTGTGCGGATGCCAGGCTCTTGGCCACAAGCTCCAAAACCTTTGGACCCATCTCTGAGCAGGGCAGGACCTGCAGGCAGGGGCCATGTGTTTGGAAAGCAAAAGGAGCCGAGTCCACAGAGTGGGCCAGTGCAAAAGGTACGACCATGTCTGTGTACATAGTAGCAGCATGCAGCTTATCATTAGAGCAAATAATGGATTTCAGGGTACTTAGGAAACTGGGAAGCCCTATATGAAAGCAAGGGTTGTTTTTATTTCCCCCTTTAACAAGTAGTTTCATCTTCTAGGAATATATTTCAAGTTCTTGAATTGCAGGTCTAGAAAAAGTGCCTCATAATGAATGTTAGATGGACTTGGGTAAATGGCTTAGTTTCCTGGCTTCTAAAAGTATAAATACGTACATACATACATGACAGGTTTAGAGATACAGCCTTTACTGTTTAGATTTTCACTGTGGGTTGGACTGTATGGTATTAGCAGCCACTGTTGCCTCTGAGGTCATAATTGTTAAGAATAGTTCCTTTCAGAAGGCTCTTTGCCCAAATCTTAAAGGAAAAAAGGATCTTCGGCTATTGTTACTGCTGTGTATATACTTATATGGATGTGCATGCTTAATTTCCTGATTATATAGTAATTTTTAAAATGGTTTTTGCCTGTAATTAACAAATTTCAAAGTGGAGAGTTAGCAGATATAGGAGGAACCTAATAATGCAGTTGTGACCATGTTAAGTAGTGTTGACCATGTTAGATGTAACATTGTTCTATAAAAAGAAACACTGATGACAGTAATCCTGTGTTTTCACTCAGATGGATTTCTTGAGTCTTTATGGGCGACTCTGATTGGTGTGACAGTAGTAAACTTCCAAGACTGCCACAGGAAAACAGTAACAAGTTTTGTTGAGGATTGTTTAAAAAAAAACACACAAAACCCCAAGACTTCTGATACCCTTAAATTACATGTTTTTTGGGAAAGTTTATTAGCTGGTATGCTTATGCCCTCTTACCTTAGGTGTACAGGAAATGAACTAGAAAAGCAGTTCTGTTTTATTTGGAATACTTACATTAAATCCTGAACTATCAGTTCAGTCGCTCAGTCCTGTCCAACTCTTTGCGATTCTATGGACTGCAGCCAGCCAGGCTTCCCTGTCCATCACCAACTGCTGGAGCTTGCTCAGACTTTGTTCATCGAGTCTGTGATGCCATCCAACCATGTCATCCTCTGTCATCCCCTTCTCCTGGCTTCAGTCTTTCCCATTGTTAGGGTCTTTTCTAATGAGTCAGTTCTTCGCATCGGGTGGCCAAAATATGAGCTATATTTATGCTTAAAAACCTAGTATGAACTATATTTATAAAATCATGAACCATATTTATGTTTAAAAGCCTAATTAGTGTTCTTAAAACCATAAGAATTTAAACAATTTTTATGAAGTACTTTTATCCTTTGTTCTTGACATTTATAGAATTTGAAGTGGATGATTTTTATTATTTACCAAGGTTTGAAGAAAATCAACAATATTTCTGGCCTTTTAAACTGTATCTTAGAGTAACATTATTCTTTGACTTTCTGTAGGAGTCTGTTGGTTTAGTCTCAATGTTCCGAGGACTGGGCCTTGAAACAGCATCCCAGACCCCTCTGAAACGGGAGATGCTTCCTTTAGGTATGTGGAAAACTAACTTGAGAAAATGTGATGTTGTGTGATGTGATCATTGATGTGATCATTGCTTTGTTCTTAAATTAACACAGTTTATCTTCAAAAAAATTACTGTATTTTACAAAATGTTCAGCTCACAGTTATAGCTGGGATCTGACCTTTCCTTTAGGTAGAGGCATTTTAGGTCTAGGCTTACCTACCAATATGGCATGCAAGGACAAAGAAGAACCCCATCCCACTTTTCTGGATCCTTCATTGTTGGCAGCTGGGGATAGCAAGATGGCAGAGGCCTCCGTTGGTTGGAATAGGTGGGTAAAGTTGCTTCCTTGGGTAGCTATCAAATTTAGGTGAAATATCTCCAAGTCCAAAGAGAAACTCTAAAGCGGGTTATGTTGTCTCACAAGGAAACCGTGCATGGTTTCATGGTAAGAATGGGCATTTTCCAAAAGTAGTCAGTAGCTACTGACCCAGTCAGTCTTTGGACAAGGTAAAAGCAGTTTTCCACAGCACAGTTCACCACCCTGTTTGCTCTCTTAAGGAGTCAGACTGATGGTGCTGATTCTTTATCCCAGGTGGGTCAGACTTCCACCTCAATTTCTGCTATGGAAGTTGGCCCTCATAGTCCATATTAATAGTAATTGATGAGTGAGTCTTGTTGGCATATTGGATTCAGAGAGAATCCCAATGCTTGTGTCCCTTTTGCTGACTCCTCCAGGGAAAGAATGAGATTTGAGGACTCATTTAGTTGGGAGCATAGATAGAAGCATGATTGAGAAAGTTCTGATTTATCTCTTTTCAATGATGCAGGATGCTCAGAAGAGGGAATTTGGATGCATCTTTGTTACCAGTGGGAAGAGCAGCTGGTGGTTTAGGCAGAGGAATATACAAGGCTCCCAGTGCTCTCAGCCTGGCTTCTCAGGATCCTGCCCAGCTCTCACCTCTGCCTCCTCTGCCCCAGGCCCCACTATCCTCTCTTGATAGCCCTCCACTTGGGACTGCAGAGCGCAAGAAGTAAGTCGGGAGTGCTGCCTTCCTGCTTGGGGATGGTGTAGCGGAGGCCATCTCAGAGGGTTGCACACCCTGTGCTGTTGTGTCTAAAGTCCTCCCTGGTGGTAGGCGCCGCAGGGTTTTTTGTTTTGTTTTTTGCCAGTAGGGAGAATGACAGAAGAGGTAGACAATTCCTGATGAGGTGAAATGCAGTTAGTGCTGATAATATGTATCAGTCAACTCATGGCTTTTCATTTCCTTCCCAATTCAGACAGAGATAATTCCTTGTCGTGTTGTAGATAAAGAAATTATCTGGGAAATACATTGCAGCTGTTCATTTTTCTCTACAGAACTAATTCTTATGTTCTTAGTTAGCTGGCCTAGTTATTCTAGTGATATTACTAGGACAAATATGGTGACCTTGCTGCTCTAATTAGAAATTGCAAGAATTTACCTTCTTTCTTTCAAAGCTTCTTTTGTATGTCTTGAGGGCCTGTATACCTATAAAATACTACTTCCCCCAATCTGTCTTTCCTTCTTTCTTTGCTTTCTTTGTATGTTTGTGGCATGGGCTATTTGTTTTTCGTATCTGTGGGTGCTTTTACTTTTTTATTTTTATTTTCTAGAGAGCTTTTTGTGAAGCAAGGATCAAAAGGAACACCTCAATTTTTGGGATTGAACCTTATCAAAATACAGTGTCATAATGAAGCAGTTTATCAATATCATGTGACTTTCAGGTATTCATAGCTTCCCCCCGCCCCCCACCGTATTTACTTCTTAGAGAGCAGTAAAGAAATAGTTCAATAGGAATAACTGAATTGGTTTTCTGTATAATTACAGAACTTCAAATACTCAAATCCTTGCAATAAGTTTGAAATTAACTTTTCTGTGTGTCTGTTTAGCTATATTACCAATCCAGATTTTAACTTAATAGGCCCAATTTTAAGCATAGGTTAGAAGTGGATTTTCTTTGAAGTTAATGAAACTTAAGTTCAAGGCCTTTTTGCATGATACTCAGTCGTATTGGACTCTTTGCAATCCTATGGACTGTAGCCCACCAGGCTTCTCTGTCCGTGGGATTTCCCAGGCAAGAACACTGGTGTGGTTGCCACGCTCTCCTCCGGGGCATCTTCCCAGTCCAGTGATGGAACCTCGGTCTCTCAGGTCTCCTGCACTGGCAGGCATGTTCTTTACCAGGGGCACTGCCTGGGAACCCCTTTACTCGCATAGACCCCTTCATAACCTTTTAACTTGCCTGTATTTGTATTTCTTTTCTTTAGTGTTATGGAGGGAAAGAAAACAGATTAAAAGAACAAAGGGGAGCATGGGCCATGAGAAATAGCCAGTGAATTAGCCACTTATTTTAAACGTTTGTAAGATGATTGAGAAATGAAATACTAATTAGAGAGAGCTGGATTGCTTTAAATGTTTCTGTGAGGTAAGAAACCAGAGCTGAGCATGTATGACAAGAGAAGGAGCCAAGAAACTGGGTAAAATTGAACTCACAGGAGGAGAAGGTAGTGAGAATGGTCCTGTTCTGGAACGTAAGGAACAGAGATGGGTGTTAATGCGAGGAAAGTGGACTGACAACTGTTCCTGAAACAGAACTGGTGTGTGACTCCTCATGGATGTCTGCATTGACCAGGTTGTGGAGATAGCTTGGATTCTATACATTTTGAGATTGTAGTTGCAGACCTTTGACGCTACAATGTGATGAGAATGCCAGGCCCTTGAGAGAATACTGAGAGGATGCACTACAGTGACTGGTCGTCTTGTGGATTCCGTGACATGATAAAGCTCTAAAAAGACTAACTCAAAAGTTGTCTGGAGCATAACACCTTGTGTATATTAATATGAATTTTTTTGAAGAAGCGTTTTGAAATGTGATGTTAGCATGTGAGTGCTTAGTTTTGGGGATTACTGTACTGGATTACCACCTGAACTTTTTGTAGTTTTTATCTTTCTTCACATACTTGAACACACTTGACTCTTTTTAGCCTTGGATTTGTTTAAACTTCGAAGTTGTAGGATAAGGTTGGCGTTACTGTAATCTAATGGGAAAATCATTGTACAGCGTAGCTATTGGAATTTTTCAAAACTGTAAGATTCGTGCCAATGAATTGATAAAAAGTTGAAATTGTTGAGTGAAAAATGGTCTAGACTAAAATACTGTTTTTTAAAAATATATTTTTTAAAAAGTGTGTATTTCTACAGATGTTGGATCAGGGATTAGCAGACTATGACAGGCCTGCCAGGCAAATCTGACCCACTGCCTATTTCTGTAATAAAGTGTTGCTAGAACATAGCCTTGCTTATTGGTTTACCTATGGTCTATAAGGCTTTTGCGCCATGTTAGCAGAGTAGAGTAGTTACAGCAGAGACCATATGGCCTCTAAAAACTTTCTGTAGAAGTTGTTTGGCCCACTGATCTAAACTCTCGAAGAATGTACCCTGACATGCTAAGGCAGTTACGTTTGAGAGAGGATTGTTTTTATTTTCTGTGAGCCTTGGGTCAAGAGTTCTTTTTTAGTCAGATAGATATATTTGAATTGTTTAGTATGACCACTAGATGGAGCAGCAGTCACAAGTGACTGTTTCTCTAACAAACCTACTGTCCTGCTGTAAAGTCAAGCTGAAGTAAAATCCTCTTTATTTTCTAGCCCCAACGTGGAGTGCAAAAGCATGAGGTTTGGCATGTTGAAGGACCATCAAGCTGTCACCGGAAATGTCACTGCTTTTGATGGATCCATTCTCTATCTACCTGTTAAGCTTCAGCAAGTGAGACCAAATAGGAAATGCACTTTGGGACAAAGCCAGAGTGGTGGGAAATCATAGTGTCCCTGAACATTTGAGTTGTACTTTCCTATTGTGAGAGGGAGGGCTGACTTCTCTGTAACCAAGAAATTGCAAACTGAGAAACTATTTATATATGAGTTCTTTCTAGTTCCTTCTCTCTTTAAGAGGAGTGGTTGGAAGCCTTTGACCTCAGTGACAAAGAATACTATAAGATTTCAAAATCACGAGGCTCTATTGCTAGTTCTCCATTGGGTGTCTCTTACCAAATCCTCTTGTAAATCCTGATTGTCCTGCTACGATTTGTCTAGTGTGGACAGCAGAGTAATAAAAATAAAATATGATTAAGATATGTTAGTGTTCTAGAACACAAGTTGGATTAGATTAGGGCTTGGTAATGTCATTTCTTTTTACATACCTATGTTTATTTGTTAGGTTCTTGAGTTAAAGAGTCAAAGGAAAACTGACAGTGCTGAGATCACCATTAAGATTCAGTTGACAAAGATCCTGGAGCCCTGTTCTGACTTGTGCATTCCCTTCTACAATGTTGTATTCCGTCGGTGAGAAATGGCTGAAGTCTTATTTTCTTTAACCTCAGTCTTTGTAACAGAGCTCTTCAGGAGCCTTGGATGGTATTAAAACTAGTGTGTATATAGGGACTTGCCTGGTGGTCCAGTGGCTAAGGCTCCATGCTCCCAATGCAGGGGGCCCAGGGTTCGATCCCTGGTCAGGGAAGTAGATCCCACATGCTGCAACTAAGACCCAACACAGTCAAAGAAATAAATAAAAACAAATATTAGTTAAAAAAATAAAATAAAACTAGTGTGTATATAAAGAGTTTGGAAATATTTAATAAATAAATGCATGGCATTAAAGGCTAACTTATCTCGGGTGATTGGACAGATTTGGGTATATGAAAGTAGATCTGAGGTGGTTGGCTAGAAGGGAATGGGTTCCTTTGATTCATTCAGGAAGTTTAAAAGCAAATGTTGATGGTGTATATTTAATGATGTTACATTAAACACCATGATGGGTCTACATGAAGAGGTAGTGTATAAAAATTTTTGCTAGAATTTCTCTTGGTCCTTTGAAGGTTTGGATATAAATAGCTCATAATTTTTTATTTTTACTCTTCTGAAAACTCAAATTTTCATGAAACTGTTATTCCCAAACCACTTCTTTTATAAAACACAAAACCTGATTTCTACTTAGTAAGCTGAACTACTAGGAACAAACATAACTTCCTGTGCCAGACTGATATTCACAAATTTAGAAATGGACTCTCTTGTGCTATTTTTAGTTAATAGGGTAAAGTAATGTAAATTGAGCTCGGGAAGTCAACTTGATTTTTGGTTACCTAGTTAGGAGAAAAGGCTACAATCATTTGCATATACAGCAAGATCAATGCTTTGGTAATTTTTATTTTCCTTTTGGTAAGAGTGTTCTGTACATAAAAGCTATATTGTGCAAAGAGCATCAGCCTTTCTGCCCTTTGAGGCTTCCAGAGGAAAATGTAACTAAGAGCCCTTGAACTTATTTATTTATTTTTAAATCTTCTACTAGAACACTCATTCTTTGCTCTTTATTTCAGGGTAATGAAACTTTTGGATATGAAACTTGTTGGAAGAAACTTCTATGACCCTACAAGTGCTATGGTGCTGCAGCAGCACAGGTTGGTGCTGGCTTCTTCTTCCTCAGTTTTGAATGTTCTACAAAGAAAATCTTCATTGCAGTCACTGTATCAGTTTTTTATGATAGCAGGTACAATTTGTGAGTTAATTAAGTGTTTTATTAAGTTCTGCTGACTTCATTTGTTTCCTATTGCTTTCTCATTGTTATTGGGGAGGGGCAGTATCTGCCCGAAGTATTGCCTCAAATGAGGGCATGGAAATATCTCTGGTTCTTTTAGCATCCCAGGATAAAGGCCATCTGTGTCTTCAGATTGCAGATCTGGCCAGGCTATGCAGCTAGCATCCGGAGGACAGATGGAGGTCTTTTCCTGCTAGCTGATGTCTCCCATAAGGTCATTCGGAATGATTCTGTGCTGGACATCATGTGAGTGGATGGATGGGGGGAATCTGCCTTTAACAAGTTAACAATTTTCTGAGAAGTTCAGTAGTAGCTGCTAATAAATACACATTTAGCCCATTGTTCTTTTTGGGTTTTAAATTGTAGAACAGATTAAAGATACTGAATGGATGTGCTCTTTCTGTGAATCCTACCAAGATAGACATCTGAATAGAGAACTGCTGTGCTTAGACTAAAGAGGAATGTGTCTAAGTCTGCGGTTGAGAAGACTTGGTGTAATATACACACACCCTGAGTTTTTGTTTAAAAGTATTATTCTAGTAAATATATACTGTAGTAAATACAGATGTGTACAACTTATAATGGCTACCTGAAATCCTACATTATACATAAATCTGTGTGCATCTATAATTTTTTTTAAATTTGGGTACCTAGAAGTGGATTTACTTAATGGAAAGGCCAAACACTTTATACTTCAACTATTTACTATAATATATTTAAATACATATTGATTGATTAGCCTCTAGAAAGCTTACTTTATTTTCTCACCAGCTGTGTATAACTGCTAGGCTTATCAGGCTCTTGAATCTTTGCTTATTGGATAAATTCATTCATTCCATCAACATGGATTTATAGAACTCCAGTTTGTGCCAGAGTTTTGGGACTTTGCAGTTAACAAAGATCCCTCTCCTTAAGGAGTTTGCATTGTAGTCAGGTGAGATAAATAGTAAATAATAAACATGGTAAGTAAATTGTGTAGTGTACTAGAAATGATACAGGCTGTGGAAGAAAAAATAGGTAGAGCACAGGGTAGGGGAGATCTGGAATCTGTGGGATGAGGTGCATTGGGATGGAGAGCTGTCATTTAAGTGGCATGTCAAGCTCAATTGAACCAACACTTGGAACAGGTGAGGGAGTTAACCAGATGAAGATACAGGCTAAGGGCATTCTTGTTAGAGGGACAGCTGAGGTACAGACTTAAGTTAGAAGTATGCCTGGCTTTTTGAGAAGCAACAGAGAAACCAGGTTGGCTAGAGCAGAGCAAGTGAGGTGAGAGCAGTGGGGAGATGGAGTAGATGGAGGGACTGAGGATGGAGAGCTTGGTAAGTCTGTTGTGAAGATTTTCACTTTTACTGTGGGCGAAACATAGGGCTTACAACCAGGAGTGGCACGGTGTGACTTGAGTTGTGAAAGGATCCCTTTCGTTACTGCTTGGCGAATAGGCTTGGTGGGATGGAGTCAAAGTGGGGAAGCTGGCAGAAAGCTGTAGTACTAATCCGTGGAGAAGTGAGGGTGGCAGCCGTGGTGGTAGTGAGACGTGGTTGGCCTCTGGGTGTGATCTGAAAGTAGTGCCCAGTCCATTTCCCGATGGGATGTGGGCTGTGAGAGCAAGAGAGAGGATGACTTGGATTTTTTTGAATGAATTTGTAGTGGTTTATTCTGTCTCTTCTGGACTCTGTTCTTCATGGTGGGGACCATGTTTCTTTTTCTCACATGGTACACCCAGACCGAGTTTATTCCTAGGCTATAATAAGTGTTCAAGAATGTTTGTTAAATAAAAATAGATGTCTTTGAATTCGTTCTTTTTCTTTATGGTTTCTGTCTTTGTTTCTCTGCTTAGAAAGGTCTGAAAAAGTGAAAGTATTAGTTGCTAAGTTGTGTCCGACTCTTTGTAACCCCATAGACTTTAGCCCACCAGGCTCTTCTGTCCAAGGAATTCTCCAGGCAAGAATACTGGAGTGGATTGCCATTCCCTTCTCCAGGTGATCTTCCTGACCCAGGGATGGAACCCAGGTCTACTACTTGTTTATTTTTATTTCCAATGTTTTAAACCTTCTGAAACTTATCTTGGTATGATGTTAGGATTATCACAATTGTTTTGGTACTGTTACACAATATACTGAAAAACATTTTGTATTTTAAGTATTTCTATTGATGAATCAATTTTCAGTGTTACCTTTTTTAAGGTTTTTTTTGGGGGGGGTCTTTAGTTTTCAGCAGTTTCACTGTGGAGGTATACCTCATTTTATTGTGCAATGCATTATAGTGTTCTACAAACTGAAAGTTTTGTGGCAATCCTGCATCAAAATAGTCTATGGGCACCATGATTATATTTGTTATGATGATCTTTGGTGTTACTATTACAGAAAGATTACAACTTGCTGAAGGCTCAGATGATGCTTAGCATTTTTTAGCAATAAAGTCTTTTTTAATTAAGATGTGTCACATTTTTAGACATAATGCTCTTGCATACTTAACGCACTGACTACAGTATAAACTCAGCTTTATTGTGCATTGTGCTGTGCTCACTCAGTCATGTCTAACTTGCTGCTTCCCCATGAACTGGAGCCCACCAGGCTCGTCTGTCCATGGGATGTCCCAGGCAAGAACACCGGAGTGGGTTGCCATTCCCTTCTCTAGGGGACCTTCCCTACCAGGGATTGAGCCTGCATATCCTGCATTGGCAGGCGGGTTCTTTACCACAGAGCCACCGGGGAAGCCCTTTATATACATTGTGCTGTGCTTTGCTTAGTCGCTCAGTCATGTCTGACTCTTTGCAACCCCGTGGACTGTAGCCTCCAGGCTCCTCTGTCCATGGGGATTCTCCAGGCAAGATTACTGGAGTGGGCTGCCATTTCCTCCTCCAGGGAATCTTCCCAACCCAGGGATCAAACCCAGGTCTCCCACATTGCAGGCCACTTCTTTAACCATCTGAGCCACCAGGGAAACCTTATATGCACTAGAAAGCCAAAAGTTTTGTGTGATTTGCTTAATTGTAGCCATCTTGAACTTAATTGCAGTGTCTCCAAGAAATACCTGTAATGTGTCTAGATGTAGTTTCCCAGTATTTCTACTGCTTAGCCCTCACCTCGAGTGTGGGCTGGATTTATTGACTTCTCTCTTTTCTTTTTTTGCCATTCTGGATCTTGGTTGTGGTGTGTGAGCTCTTCATCGCGGTGCGTGGGCTTTCTCTAGTTGTGACGTGCGGGAGTGTCTCTGGTCGCAACGCAGGGGCGGCTTGTTGTAGTGTGCGTGCTCCTTTTCTTGTGGCCTGAAGACTTGGTTGCTTCTTGACATGTGGGATCCTAGTTCCCTGAACAGGGATTGAGCCTGTGTCCCCTGCATTTAAAAGTGGATTCTCTACCACTGGACCACCAGGGAAGTCCCTGACTTACTTCTAATGAATGAAAAGTGGCAACAAACAGCCAAGTCAAAAAATGGGCAGAAGACCTAAATAGACATTTCTCCAAAGAAGGCATACAGATGGCCAACAGATATAAGAAAAGATGCTCAGAATCACTAATTATTAGAGAAATTGAATCAGAACTGCAATGAGATATTACCTCACTCTGGTCAGAGTGATCATCATCAAGAATTTTACAAATAATAAATGCTGGAGATGGTGTGCAGCAAAAGGCACCCTCCTCTACATTGTTGGTGGGAATGTAAATTGGTGTAGCCACAATGGAGAGTATGGAGGTTCCTTAAAAAACTAAAAATAGAGCTATTATATTATCCAGCAATTCCATTCCTGGGCATACATCAAGAGAAAACTCTTTAATTTGAAATGACACATCTACTCCAGTGTTCACAGCAGCACTGCTCACAGTAGACAACACACAGAAACAATTTAGATACCCGTTGGCAGGCAAATGGATGAAGATGGTACAGTATACAGTGGGGTCATTGCTCTCCCACAACAGGGTGGATAATGCCCCTTGCAGAGACGTAGATGGACCTTGAGATCATCGTATTAAACGAAGTGAGTTAGGCAAATACATGGTATGACTTACATGTGAAATATTAAAAAAAGTTACAAATGAACTTACTTACAAACCAGAAATAGATTCATAGACATGGAAAACAAACTTACGGTAACCAAAGGGGAAAAGAGGGGAGGGATAAATTAGAAGTTTAAAATTAACATATACACAGTACTAATTATAAAATAAACAACAATGATCTTCTGCATATCACTGGGAACTATATTCAGTATCTTGTAATAATTTATAATAGAAAATCTGAAAAAGAGTACATATATATGTATAATTGAATCACTTCGCTATACACCTGAAACTAACACAACATTGTAAATCAAGTGTACTTCAATGAAAAAAGAGAATATGGCAGAAGGGATCAGATAGAATATCCCTTTAAAAAAATTGAGATGTAGTTGACATATAATGTCGTGTTAATTTCAAGTGTACGGCATAATGGTATATGTCAACACTGTGGAATGGTCACCACAGTAAGTCACTGAGCCTTGTTAGCATCCACTTCCAGACGGTTACAAGTTTTTCTCTTGTGGTGAAAACTTGTAAGATTTGAAAGCAGCTTTAAAATACACGGTGTACTATTATTAACTGTAGTCACCATGTTGTATATTACATTCCTAGGACATATTTATTTTATAACTGGAAATTTGTATCTTTTGCCTGTCTTTACCCATTTCTTCTATTTCCTGTCCCCTGCCTCTGGCAGCCACCAGCCTGTTCTCTGTATGGATGAATTGAAGGTTTGGTTCCTTCCTTCCTCCCTTCCTCCCATTTCATACATACATGAAATCATATAATATTTGTCTTTCTTTGATTTATTTCTCTTAGCGTAATACTCTCAAGGTCCATCCATGTTGTCCCAAATAGCAGGATTTCCTTCTTTTCCTTACAGCTGAATACTGCACTGTATGTTCACGTGTGTGTGTGTTTAAATAGTATGGTTTCTTTTTCCGTTCATCTGTCCATGGACACTTAGCATGCTTCCCCGTCTTGGCTTTTGTAAATAATACTGCAGCAAACGTGGGAGTGCATGTATCTTTTTTGAGTTGACATTTTTATTTCCTTCCGATAAATACCCGGAAGTGGAATTGCTGAATCGTATGGTGATTCTATTTTTAGTTTTTTGAGGAACCTCCATACTGTTTTTCAGTGGCTGCACTAATTTACATCGCCTCCCAAGTGTATAAGGGTTCCCTTTTCACCACATCCTCACCAATACTTACTTCTTGATAATAGCCATTCTAACAGATG